CACGTCAAGTTTTTGAGAAAATAAATTTTAAAATCGACAAAAACCCACTATTTCAAAAATGAAAATTGTTCTCATCAATTTAAACCGCTATAAAAAAAAAACATAAGATAATAAACACCCCATAAAACTACAGCATAGATCCTTAACGGGGCTTACAACCCTGAAGATACTAAAAAAAAAAAAATTTTAAATAAAATACATTGACCAAAAGTAAATATTTTTTGGTTTTTTGAGTTGAGCCTTCAGTCTATTAGCGTTATCCAGGAGACACCACATGGAGTTTGACTGATTAGTCTCCCAAAAAATGTGTGTGTGCTTGTGTACACTGTTTATAAATGGTTAAACAAATTTTTTTTCAATTTTAATAATTTTTAAAAATAATGTCAAAATTTAAATAGTTGCTGGTAAAAATGAAAATTAAACCGATTTCACATAGTCAAATCTGCTAATATTTTTTGTTGATGTTGATAATCTGCTCCCGTAAAAAATGGTTCTTTTTCCAATGTTTTTTTTATATGGTTTTGTTGCATTGCTTCGTATTTTTATGTAGGTATCTGACTGTATGCCCAGAAGAGTGCCAACAAGAATAAAAAATTTTTCGGATGGATGTCCCCAGTGAAACAATGCATTTCACTTTGTATGAAAACGTTCACAACTGTTAGTTGTCCGATTAGTGCTTGCTGAAAAATCACACCGAATTTTGGGAGGAAACTATCCAATTTCATTGTCAATGTAATCATCTAAAATGTAATCTGTGAAACTGTCAATTCAAATCACATCACATGGTTCACCATCAAATCTTCCGTGAAACATTCAACTACGTCATTTTCGTTTGAAAATGGCAATCCGAAAAAGTACTTGAGATATCTACTTTTCTCCGAATTAGACTTATATTCTTTAGACAGACCCAACTTCTGAATTTTTCGCCACCAGCTTTACTTTACCAACACCATTTTTCGGGACTTAATTCAATATAATCCGTCCAAATTCCCTACTAATAATAGCAAAGGAGACTACGCTTACGATCTTATCTACGTAATAAAATCAAACATATTAAGATAATAAACTGGACTCAATTCAAATAACTAAAAGTAGGATGGATTCAATTCGATGTTATCCGTTTAGACGATCGTTTGTTCTCAAAAAAAAAATTGTTTTCCAAAAATTAAAATAAGTATTTTTTTAAGGTAAATAACGGCTATCACAGTGTGTCCGTTTTACAAATAATTTTCAATAATATACGGTAATTTTGCGTTCCCATAGGCGGCGGCACGTGGCGGGACGCCCGGCTGGGACAACGCGACGGGGCAGGCGGTCGGCTCGACCAGGCCGCGGCGCGCGCGGAAAGCTCACCAGCCCGTCGCGGCGGCAATATACTATTATCAAAAGATTTCATCGATTATTTAAAAAAAAAAAATTATCTATACTTATTCTCCTAAGATATCTAATAACGACCGAAAAATAACTTTCATTTTCAAATCACATAATTTATTTTTTTACACAGCATGACAATATTAGATAGGTTATAACAATACAAATTCATTTAATACATATTAATAAATTTTACATTTTAACAAAGTTTGAAGTACAACATCACACAGTCACAAGTACAACATAATTAAATAATTGAAAATAATTATATACAAAACATAAAAACACAAAATTATTTATATCACAAAATATTATACAAGGTTAACATGTGTACAAGAAAAGGATTACACAATGAATTTATAATCAAAGTGTAATCCTTTTTACGATATTTACATATTAGTTATATAAATATCACTAAAAATAAATACATGGTTACCAAATATTTTACGTTTACCACCACGCCGTAAACAAATATAAAGTTGGTAGTAGCTACCCATATGGAATTTATTTCGCCTTGCCGCCACACTTTCCACTCAGTTTGTGGTTGCTTTTGGTCAAAGCGTCAACTTCGTTTTGTAGTGTTTGGACTTTATTCGTTAACATTTCCGCTTTCCTGTTATGAACTTTTTTTTCGGAGTCCATCTTTTTGCGAAGCTCAGTTTCGGCGGCGAAACGTTTTGCTTTCAGAACGAAAATCTATCAAAGAAAATAAAAATTCAGGATGGAATCTCCTTCGTTCGTTCGAGCCCTACCGGAGCCGGTGTAAATTTCTACTTACCAATTTATCTTTCATAAAAATTTGCGCATCTTTTTGCTTCGACGTTTGTTGCATCTTAGCTATTTGTTCTCTGAGTTCAGCAATGGGTAGCCGTGCAAGAAGCATGCGGGTCTTCAATTTTTTGCATTTTAAACGGCGGCGAAAGCGAAAAATCCGGTACACTGTCGTCGTTGGATCTGCAAACATATAAGAAAAACCAAAACATTTTTTTTCATAATTTTCAGAGTTAATCATCAACTGACCTTCCACGTTTTCCAGACAACGCTGGCTTCTTTTCGGCGAGGTGTCCCTCGAAAGACTTGATGTCACTCATTTTTATTACAGGTAAAAATGAAAGAAAACAAAGAATAAACAATTTATATATTATGCGAACAATTTATGATATGTGAAAACATAACCAAGACAAACTATGTTGCATAATGAAACAAACCATGGTTTCTATGATACCGGCGCTTTGACGATCCGAATAATGACAATAATTTGATTACAATAATTAATAAATATTTACAATATATACATCTAATCGTAGGTCTTTGGATATTTCACACAAACTAGTTAAATGTAGTACTGTTTTATTTAAAATAAAGCTGTTATCAATAATTGAACGAGATAATAAATCAATATGAAATGTATTGATACTAATTCCATACCTCTAATCATAGGAGAATTTCGAATAGTACATATTAAAAAGTATTTTGTTGTCTAAATATTGTACTTGGCGTTGCCCAGGCCCAGTATTCTTCAGTCTGTACAATTAAAAATAAGTATAAGAATATCTGAAAAAATATAAGAAAGTGATAATCGAGAATTCAAACAATAAATTGTTTTTTTTTACTGTTTATACAATAATAAAATATTTATTTATACACAAAAAACATAGGGTAGTTTCTGCTATTTCTATAAGTCTTAAAAATAAATAATAATAGTTATTGAAACTATTAACACATTGGCGCAACTTAAGGCCTAAGTTGGGAACCGGTTAGCCCCTAGTCCCCCAAAATATTTTTTAACCTCCCAATTAAAAAAAATGTTTATTTTTTAATGTCATAATATCTAAAAAAAAATGTATGCAAATATACGATTTTTATATAAAAAAAAAAAATAATAAGTATACCGTTAGTCAACATTTGACTGTTATTAAAATACCAAGAAAAATAATTTATAATTTAATACTTTTTCAATGTTATTGTAATAAACCATTGAGATTAGCTCAAACTTACTAACCGAATATTATTAATGGTGCCTGATGCGATAAAGCGGTGTTTATAAGAAAATCATACTACATTTCAATGAACTGCACACGTGATCCAATAATACATAATATTTTGTCAGCCAGACACCGCGCAGACTTGTACGTAGACCTGTGTATATATTTCCAAGTATATAAGTACTTGCACAAGACCGGTGACGAGTTAACGTATACAACGATTTGTTTTTGAAAAATCGATCAGCACATAAAAAAACACCACGACGTCGCAAAGTGTTTTCAATTGCTATTTTAGCTGGTCAAAATTCGTTATATAATGTTTATAATATATTCTTTTTCTAATATTCATAATATTTCCTTTTTTAAAGTTAAATTCTAGTTCCAACCACTCTTATTATTTAAAAAAGTTTTTAAGGTACGATTAGATGCATTCCATTTTGATTTTACCGTGCTACAAAATCCTAAGAGCTTTTGCTCAAGATATCTTTCAAAATTATCTGCTGTCTGGTCCCATTGCAGTTTTATATTGTTACAATCGTACAGATTATTTTTTATGTATTGACAGAGAATATTTTGTAATTCGTTAACTAATGTTAAGGTACCTCGAACCCTCAAAACATCAAACAAATCTCCATTTTTTATTAAGGACTTCTTTTGATTACATTCATTTAATATTACAGAAAAAATTTAAAATTACTATCACATTTCATTTATTAATGTCATTATTTTCCAAAGCGGCGAGATACGGCATTTCTAATTTAGTAGATTTTATAGAGGAGAAAATTTAGAACATGACCATATTAAGTTACAACCTCTAATAATCCCTAATTTTTTTTGCCACGCTATTTAATTTAAGAAACATAGGTTTTAATACTGCGTTTTACATTATATAAACAATTATCCTTTCATAAATAACACTAATATATGCACCGCGTCGCTCAAAATCGTAATTTTAGTCAATGCTTTACCAATTTTATTGATCTCCATTTTTTGACAAATAAAAAAAATTCTAGTACGGTCAATAAAAATAATTTCTCACAACGTCAAATGAGTATTTCCAAAAAAGAGATAAACGATTTCTACATTTTCGTGATATAGTTATGCAGTATACGCGTAGTATAAAAGTCAATAAAACGTTATCAAGTGGTAATTTCGATTTCTAAAACTTATGAAGTGTACAATAATTATACTAACCTAACCGCCACCACGTCTTACAGGGTTAAGCGGGGCGAATGTAAAAGCGTTTTTTTTCAAATGTCAGTAAAAGTATTGAGTTAAAGTTAAAAGTAATTGTCGACGGTATCTAAAAATAGCTTCACTACATTTGTTCTGTTGTATAGCGGTATTAATAAAAACGATCCGATAACATGTGATATTACTAAAAAATATATTTGCATAAAAAAACAAACCAGTAAACTTGTGAAATACAAAATCATTTTATTTTACAAAATTATATAGTTTGTGTTCCAAGTTGTATAAGACGGGTTACGCACCATGGCTGTGGTGTACCGCTGCTTGGAGTATATACAATTAGTTTATACCATAATAATATAAGTTATGTGAAAATTGTTAATGTATGAAAACATCATATGATATGTGAACGTTTCAAATGAATAACAATATAAACTACAATGACACTGACGATTATCCATACTAGAAACATCGGCAGAAATACCATGGTAGTCAGAAGTTTCAGCAACAGTGCATAAGAAGTCAATACAAGTAGCAAAGGTGCAATAGCCGTGAGTAAGAGTACCAGTATGACAATACTAGCAAAAAGCATCACAATAGCTACTGCACTGACCAAAACTCCGTAACACACCTTTGCGAATAGGCCTTTGCCCATTTCTCGGATGCCAGTCAGAAAGGTCGTTCCAACAACCTGTTAAATACATTTAAAGAATACAGCGATAGAGTTAAATTCAACAATTAGTTTTAAACTTACAAGTTCTGGTCGGTGGGGTAGGTATATAACTGTTAAAAACAAAATAATATGTAAATTTCTATGAGAAGTTTATTACCTGTGTGTCGACCTGCAGGATCGGCAAATTTGTTTTTCCAAATTCAATAAGTGAAGTTCTGTCAAGGTTTTTGACTTTGGGCAACACCATGCCAAAACCCGGGTAGGAAATCATATGTACACTGCAGTGCAAATGGCGGCTGTCCATCGTCAAATTCCAACTGACTTGTTCTTCCTTATATAACTTTTTGAGAGAGGTATTTATATTTTAATAGATAGTTCAGAGAAACTTTTAAGCGCAAAATATTTAAATTTCTATGAGAAGTTTATTACCTGTGTTTCGACCTGCAGGATCGGCAAATTTGGTTTTCCAAATTCAATAAGTGAAGTTCTGTCAAGGTTTTTGACTTCGGGCAACACCATGCCAAAACCAGGGTAGGAAATCATATCTACACTGCAGTGTAAATGGCGACTGTCCATCGTCAAATTCCAACTGACTTGTTCTTCCTTATATAACTTTTTGAGAGAGGTATTTTATATTTTAATAGATTTCGGAGAAACTTTTAAGCGCAAAATTTTAAATTTCTATGAGAAGTTTATTACCTGTGTGTCGACCTGCAGGATCGGCAAATTTGGTTTTCCAAATTCAATAAGTGAAGTTCTGTCAAGGTTTTTGACTTTGGGCAACACCATGCCAAAACCCGGGTAGGAAATCATATCTACACTGCAGTGTAAATGGCGGCTGTCCATCGTCAAATTCCAAATGACTTTATGTAGTCCTGATTGGCTCATTGTTCCAACCAATACAACGACCATCAACACAAAAACCGTAAAATTCAGTTTATACATGTTGTATTAACTGTAAGAAATCCTTCGAAACAGGAAAAATTAGCAAAAACGGTTCGGAGAAATATGTTGTTTTACACTGAAATGGTGCGGTGATACAAATGTAATAACAGTTACGTTATAAACAAGCCGTTTTTAATACACATGTTACCTATATTAGTAGTATTTGCCAGCATATATAAATATATAGAATGTTTTTTTTAAAAAACATATGTTCTACTTTTTACCGTTAAAAGTTCCGAAGTGTATTTTACACTTGTTGTAGGTATAATATGCTAGACCTATCTTCAGACTTATAAGAAAGCCAACGCTCGGTTGAGGCTGTACATAAAAAATCTATTACAATTTTGAAATCTCCAAAAAAAAAATATTAATCATTGTCAATGGTGATTTGAAATAATCTATTGGTATGATAGAAGCCCAGTGACACTCAAGTTTATTTTAGTAATATCCTACGGCCGGGGAAATCATCGGTTCAGAAACAATGATTTTTATAAATAAATGTGTGATAATTATTCTAAAAAAAAAACTTTTTGAAGAATGTGCATAATATTCTATTTTTGTACTTTGGTAAGTACAAAGTTGATCGTCTGTCTACAATAATAACAAGTCACTTTATTTCTAGGAAAATATTAATATTCTGAAAAACCGTGATTTCGTATTCTTTTTGGTTCATATTTTACTATTTATTTCAATACTGTGAAAATTCTTAACTTTATCCCTTATACGTTAAAAGATTAGTGACTTTATTGTTCCAAATTAGAACAACTATTTTTAACTCGATATAAAAGCAGTAAAAATTAAATTTTACTATCGTCGTTAGTTTTTTAAATTTCTATCAAAGTATCTGTATTTGAAGTATATGCGGTTTATAGCCGATATACAACATTTTACACCATCGGTACCAGAAGTTGGATTTTCAATTGCTCTGAATAACCCTATTAAACGACACATGTTGAGATAAATTGCAAAATCTGGATCTTTTTCACCTAAAAAATACAAAAAAATTAAATTTAGCTCATTCAATATTAAAAGATAAAGTCTCATCCTTATGTTACTGTGTAATGCATCTTTGAATTAAGTGTATTTTAAGAAAAATCCAGTATCCACGTTGTTAACGCTCCATAGTTGTATTATTATTAATTGATTAATGTATACAGAAAATTATACATAAAATGATAAACAAATTTGATATGCATATTTACTTATTACAGTACGGATTAATTTTTTTATAGCTGGGAGAGTTGATAGTCTTCTTTTTCATCTCAAATTTGTCAGATTAGTGTCATTAAAATCGGCTTAAAAACAAAATAATAAAAACAAGTTTAAAAATATATCTTGTTGCTAGTAGCGTGATATAGTTGAACATTTAAAAGAACTACAAATTTGCCAATTTTTGTACAACTTACCATTAGTACCTAAAAGCTACTTTATTGAGAAATTCTAAATTCTAAAAATCCAACTTTAGGTATTACCGTCGAATTAGTTCCAAATTTTTACAGAACTTTGAACAAATTGAATTTTTTAGAATACATTTTTATTAGTGTATAACCATTATACGTTATGATTAGCCTAAAATATATAATAAAACCTCACCCTGAAAATTGTTTTTTTATTTCTATTTTTTGAGCGTAGCAATGAGACTAGTCTTACAGAAATTCTAAAACAAAAACTTGCCCCCTTTTGGTTGAACTTGTTCATAATTAACCAAGCTATACCTCTATAATATGCATGTAAAACTGTGATTAGTGGTTACCTTCGTTTATCTGAGGTGCTTCAATACCTATAACCAAAAAATAAAGCAAACGATTATACAGTTAAAAAAAAAATCAAATTTTATTTTCCATTTATAACAGTTTTTCTTATATTTGGGGAATACTTAGATAAATTTTCAACCTAATACAATGTCAAAACTTCTAGCAGCCGCGTTTAAGTTAATGACATTTAATAATTTTTGAGGAACCATCCAAATCTTAAGAAGGCATCGCAACGCCTATTTTTAAGGAGTAAAGTATAGGCAATTTTTCACAAATCTTAATTTAAAGGTTTAAACTGTGATGTGTAACTATTAGTTCAATAACTAAGACTCTATTTTGGTAGTTAATTTATTTTTTGGACTATCACAGCATCCTGAAAGCGATTTAAAAATGTTTTTTCATGCCTACATGTTTAGCAGACTGAAAATATCTCGATTAATTTTGGTTTTAGAGTAACAGCACCTATTATAATATTGAAAGAGACGCCCTCTTAAGGAAAAATCATAATATAAGTATACAACTTTGAACTTTAATAGAATATTAGTGAATACGGAATGTACGAATACTTCCACTTTATCCATTTATAAAATATTATTTAAATTAATTTTACTTTATTATAAATAAAATCACAGAAAATATAGTAAATGTAATGTCAAACCTTTGATCATTACTGCTTTCTTGCTACTCATTTTCACAAGACTCGCTCTGCGACGTCGAAGCATCAGAATTTTCCTATATACGTACGAATTTAAAATAGTAAGAAATAATCGTAATTGATACTTATTTTGACTTATTGAGTTTTTATAATTTTTCCATTTGAGGAGTGATTTAATATTTTATTTGTTTTTTCTTATTTTTGATAATCGCTTCTTTTTAGGAAAACTTTCCATTTTAATTTGTATTAACCTTATATAAAACCAGCACAGTGTGTAAACACAGGTAAATGCATGACGTGCAGCAAAGTACTATAGCTTGTTTGTACTATTATTTGTACTATTTCATTAGACTTATTGTACATATAAGTACGAATACCGAGTATTTCTATTTACACTCTTCCGGACTTTTTGGACATCTATCATTAATATCATATATGGTATATCGATAACTATGGCCCAGTCAATAACTTGAAAGGTATTAAACGGTCAAACAAGTTTATCAAATAAGGGATAAGTAATCTGAAAACAGATTTGAATTCTTCATGAAGTTTACTTGAGATCGATCAGCGTACATTTTTGATATCTTATTCCTACTACGCATAAAACACGTTTGAACATTTTATCAAATTTGGAAAGGGTTAAACTTAAAAATTGAAAAAAGTGATCTCAAGTAAACATCATGACGACTTCATATCTGGTTTTAGATTGGTTATCGGATCACTGGTTCAGTCTGTGCGATGGACCAAAAATTATGTGTTTTGGCTAAAAAACGGTCGGTATCCAGGAGCCTTAAACTGAACTTTTTAAAGTTTTGAACACAAAAACTGGCACCGCCTAAACGCGTATGGTTAAACGATTCCTGTTTTCATATACGTCAAGAGTGCCTGACTCATATAAAAAAAACCAGTCATTTTCTAAACGAATAAATGGACAAAAATCCCAATTGCAGATTCCCGAGAGGTAGATTAATGAGTTCTTACTTATTTGAAATACGTTTTTATTCAGTTTACAAAAAAAAAAAAAAATATTTTTTTATTCAGTTTACAAATAAAGTCGCGCATTTGTAGCTACTAATTGGTATTCAATACACATTTTTTGTTTTTCAATATGTATACTTTACCAATTGAAGGACACAGGGAAAAACGGTAATAGTCACAATATAAACATTTTTTTTTTAAATAGTTTTTTTCAATTTATGCCAATAATTTTTTTTATTTATGTCAAAAGATTATTTAAGTAAATACATTTATCATTAGAGTGGCATTTAATGTGATTTTTTTGTTTTCATGTAAGAGGTAGAGCAATTCACGAACTTTGTTTTTGCTATACTCTAAAATTTTCATAATGTCACAACTACCGTTTTTACGCTGTGCCCTTCAATTATAATTTACAACGAGTACAACACGGTTATCTATATAGGGTAGACAAATTCAAAGTATAATTAATTAAATATTGTTGTGGTTATTTTACCTATTAGTAAATTCAACATTTTAATACTCAAATGAAGGATGACTTTATTTTTGCAATCTATTCTAGGTCGTGGTATAACTTAGCAAATAAAAAATATTGTTCCAATTGTTTTTCTTTTCCTGGGCGAAGCCGGGTACACAGGCGGTTTGTTAATACGGAAGACGGTTATTTACTAGAAATTCAAAGCATACAAAACAAACAAAATATCGATAGAAATCATACAGTATTTTTGCCGGAAAATATCCGGGTAGCTATCAATAGACATAATAGACACACACATTATTTACTATGCATGCAAGCGCAAAACAACAGAAGATATTGATTTGAGGCCTAAAATATATAATGTTATTGGAAAACTTGTTTTGAAAAGACTATGTGCATATTATACAGTTAATCTTGAATAAGACATGAGGGATTTAACTGTACGATAGGGTACCCCATTTGGCATTAATTTGTTTTTAAAAAAATGCAAAATTTGAATATAAGATGGCAAGAAGTTCACTAAATATATTATGTCGCGTCTATATAATTTTGTCGGGTATTACCAGGAAGCCATACTTTCACATTTGTGCATTATGACCTCAATACTTTTATTTGATAAAACAGTGTAAATAGACTTTTGCACCTATGCCACAGTTGGATACTTGTCGGAAATGTATTTGATATATTTATTTACTGTTTTGGATTTTATTTTTCATTTCCTTATAAAACTGGCCTTTATAGCCTATAACTGTTGAGAGTAAAAGTAATAGTTTTATCACACTGTTAAACATCGGTTTATAATAGATAGATACAATGTACTTCAAAATCTCAATTATTTTGCTTCTAACTTGTTTGATGTTTGTCGAATCCACTGTAACACTAAATAATTCAGAAGTGAGTTTTAATAATTTGTTTTGACTAAAACTATTAGTTTAAAATGATTTCCTTCTAACATTAGGTATACACGGTGTCC